CCGGTCGGCGAAGTGGTCGACACGGCTGGAGAAAGCGTTGCCGCCGCCACCGGAGGGGACGGCCTCGGCTCAAAGCTGGGGGAGGCCAAGGAGACCCTGGAGGAGGCGGCTGAGGGGGCCACCGGTCGCGTGGCGAAGGCCGCCGGCGAGGCTGACGGAGCCGGTCATGAGGATGGAGGCCATGAGGGTGGAGGTAATGGCGCCGAACGACGACAAACTGGGGCTCCGGTAGTTTTTCGTTAGTTTTTTAATGTGTTTTTTATTGTTTGTCTGTATAGAGGACGCGGAGACCACGACAGAGAAGCCCAAGAAGAAGAAGTCTAAGAAAGGTAGGATCGCCGCCGGACAGGTCCAGGGCAAGGAGCAAAAGGCTGTAGCCGTCAACAAGAACGGAATCGTATCCATATCCCAAAAGGACGGCCAAAAGCAGTCCATTTCAGGCGCCAGTAGAAACTCAAAGGCCTCCACTGCTGGCAAACAGAAGCAAAAACAGTCCCAATCCGTGTCCGTCGAGTCCAATGAATAATGTGGGGCTGAGATCCAGTTATCCTCTTATTTTTAATTGTTTTTTTTGTTTTCTAAATTTAGGTTATTTTTTATGTAATGACTTTTTCGGACTTTTTAATTAAATAAATGTTTTTGTGTTAATTATGAATAGATAATTTATTTATTATTTTTCTTAAATATGGTTTGATTTGCAAACTGATGACTGGTATCAGGTTTCACATTGGTTTACGTAATTGAAAAACATATTTTTAAAATACCGTATATTAATGTATCTTGTGACAAATTTTAATTTAAAATCAATTAATCTAAATTAGCGACCTGTGTATTAATTTATTGAAAAATAATTTGCTAGCTTACAATATTTGCAATATTGAAAATTAACATTAATCAATTGTTTTATGATACTTTTATACTTTTATGATTAATTTTACAACCTTTAATAATTAATGCATATTAATATATTTTAATAAATAGCATTTTCAAAACAACTAAAACAACAATTTGCTTATAATTTATGCCTCAAAAGCAGATGATGGTACAGTTTCTTGATTTTGTTGTAGATAATGAGTGGCTCCAGAGTTTGGACATTCAATGGGTCGGGGATTCTGGAGGAATGGCAGATGAAAAATATTATTTATACTCAAATACAATAGTAATGTGAAAGACATACAGCCTTAAGGCATACGAAGTTAATCAGATTGCTTTCGACCAAAGCCATAGACTCCTTGTCAAACTTGTCATCGATGGTAACCCACGGGACGTATGTGGGCGACGGGTATAACTCCTTGGTCTTTCTGGCCATTAGCCGGTATATATCCCGGCCTTTATCAGTGTCTATACATTGCTTGATGACTGGCCATTGGCCGGGCAGGTGTTCATCCGCACACTTTGATTACATACATATGTGTGATCACATTACATGGAAATTAATTTTGCAATCAGTCTTATCTTATATTGTATTTATGATTCACAATATTAATTGTGAGGTAAATGACAACAACTACTGTACCTCTTGAGCCGCTTTCTCCGTATTCCTAGACATAAACCTATGGTTAAACATACAGATTATGAAATCCATGACAGATTTCCGGTGCCCCTTACTCTTCCACCAGAAGTCCGTATAAACACATGACTTGAGACATAATAATTAAAAAGCAAATAAAAAATAAAACAATTAGTTTTACATTAAGAACAAAAAATGATTTCTAAAACTTTGATATTATATAAAAACATCTCAAAAACTAAAACGTAAAAACATTTAATGACTAATCAATAGCAAGATAATTATGTCTGGACTTCATATACTACGGTAGTATAGTGTACCTGAATCTTGTTACCCCGGCACTCTTCAATGCCGTGCTGGCAGTGGTACTTAAGTACACCATTTTGGTCCTTATACTCGTCGACATTGCCAAAGGGGATGAGCTCGACACTGATCTGATCGGCAAACAGTTGGTACGCCTGATGTAACTGTTGCTTCACAAACCTCTGGCTGTCGGGACAGAGGGTCTCGTAATACAGCGATATCTTGAGCGCTGAACAACACTTTCGATTGATTGGCAAACAGTGAGAGAGAGAAAGAGAAATATAAATTAAGTTTTAGATTAAAATGTTATATAATTTATGACATAAACAAAATATTCAAGTGACAAATAAATATAAAGACCTCATATATGGTGAGCAACACCAATACAATCCCTACGAGTGTCTTTCGATTCATGGCTTTATTAATGGGAAGCCTCTTTGTTGGACTTTTAATGGCGTTTATATTGATAATTAAATTTATTTTATTTCTGTTAAGACTATCAAATGTCATGTGGTTTCTATAGATTTTGAGTTTTTTGATTGATTTGAATTTATTTATAAATGATGTTACTTACAATGCGTTAACGGGAAGTGATATTACATAATTCGATTAAAACAGCTTGATTTATAAACATTTAGCATGGTATAATAATAATATCTAGGTCTTGTAATCTAGCGGAATGTCTTAAGTGACCAAATCGGTGGTGACTTTTCCGACATCCAAATCAAGCGCT